GTGAGTGGTGGTGGTGGTGGTGGTGGGTGTTGGTGGGTGGTGGTGGTGGTGGTGGTGGTAGTAGTAGTAGTAGTAATAGTAGTACTAGTACTAGTAGTAGTAGTGATGGTGGTAGTGATAGTAGTATGAGGTGGATTGTTGGGCGGTCACACCGACATAATTAGTTTCAGTGGCACATCACTGTATATATAATCACAACAATAGCGGACGATGGTGGTGACGCCTAGTACGACGCTTCGCGCTCTTTCTCTCGTTTATTTCTTCATTTGATAATTGAATAGGCATATAAAGACATTTACAATTGCCAGATCGATACAGTGGATAACATTAGAAATGGGCTAAATCTCCTTTTGGTTGATTTTTTCTCTCTTGTACATCCCTTCTTTGTTTTCTTCTTTTTTGCAGGAATATCTTATGCTTTCGTTGCTTTTCACTTTGCCTCTGTCTTTGTACGTAACGGTAACTCCAATTTGCTGTTTAGTCATTACACGTTATTTATTTGTTTGTTCGATCGTTCATTCGTTAATTCATTTATCGTGTGTGCTTGCGTGCGTACTTAGATGCGTGCGTGCGTGCGTGTTCACTCACAGACTTGCAGAAGTTAGCTCCATGACTGATAGGAGTCTTGATACCATTCGTGATCATCGGTGGTAACACCGCTGAGTGTGGCGGTTCTACTTCCAAATCCTATGTCACCGCCGCCGCCACCACCACCACTGCCACCATTCACACTCGCCAATCCGTACGCATTGCCCAGTGGTTGTTGGGCGAGGGGTTGGTTTCCCCAGTTGCTCTGGAAGCGACGTTTACATTCCCCCTGGTTCTGGTGACCCCCGTCAAATTTTCGTTTACCTGCTGTACAAAAAACACAAACAAACATTCGTCACGTTAAATTTTTATTATAGTACCTATGGCTTGAATCTTTCTTCTTGTGAAAAGTAAACTCGTTTTTTGTGTATACGCGCGCATGCACGTACGCAAGCCCCCCCCCCCCCCCCCCCACCACAC